CTCTCTCTCTCTCCATATATATATATATATATATATATATATAAAATATTAAAATTAAAACACTATCAGATATTTGTGACATTGTGATAAACTTTGAACAGTGATAAAGCCGTGGGTGAAGTACGGTAGAACTTCACCTATAGGCATTTTGTAGTGTTTTCCTATATACATAGATAGAGAGAGTTTGTGTGTGTTTAAAAAAAAAAAAACTCCAAATGGTTTTTGTCCAATTTGGGCGCTTAATTACAATTAGAAATCAATTTAAATTTGAAAATCAAACACCTCTTGTGCTCAAATCACAGCTAGCCAAATGACAAGTTCGTGCAAAACTGCATTTTGGCTTGAAAATCTAATGGCGCCCAAGGATTGTATATTTTCTAGCTTCATCTTTATTTCTTTTCAAGACTTCATGGCTATAGCATTATTACTATGCTTGCGGTTTCTGTTTTTTTTTTTTGTAATACCCATGAGAGGTTTTTGTTCTTTTTTTTTTTTCTGCCAATAAAGGTCGTCTTGAGTGTTTTGGCGTTTCTTGAATTTTTATTTTTATTTTTATTTTGACAATAAAGGTTGTCTAGAGAGTTTTTTTTTGTTTTACAAAGTGCAATGATCTTTATTGATTACGGAAAGTACCACGAAGGCAAAATAACAATACGATCAACGCGAATCCCATTCTCTAGAAAGTTTTGGCGTTTATTGGAAAATCTTTTTTTTATAATAGAGGTTCTCTAGAGTGTTTTGGCGTTTTTTAGAAATTCCTTTTTTTTGTTTTCACAATACAGGTTCTCTAGAGGGTTTTGGCATTTCTTGGAAAATCTTTTTATTCTGTAGAGTATTTTGGCACTACTTTGGAAAATCTTTTCTTTTTGACAATAGAGGTTCTCTATAATGTTTTGGGGTTTATCGGAAAATCTCTTTTTTTTTACAATAGCGGTTCTCTAGAGTGTTTTGGCGTTTCTTGAAAAATATTTTCTCTTTTTAATTTTTTTTTGACAATTTTTACCCTTGAGCCTTTCCGGTTTCACCACATCTCTCTTTGGGATTATATACTACAAGATCATTTATCTTTGTTACAAGAAGATCACAATTACTCCTAGCAATTAGATGTCAAATTGGATCGTTTGGGCTGTGTCATGGAATTTGAAAAAAAAATTAAACTTTGGGTCTAATCAATGATACACTCACTACCATCCATTTTGAAGTTTGACATACAACAATGATTATGACATCCTTGTACTAAAAATATAGTCTCTTTGTATACTTTACTTTTACTGTGTAGTTTTCTTTTTTCTTACAAGTAGAACTTGTAAAACTTAGATACATGACAATGACGAGGTCAAAACTTCCAATCTTGGGTGATTCTTTTATTGACTTGTGTTGCCATGATGCCCTATGGTGACCGTACATGGTCCATTCTAATGAGGCCTAAATCAACAAATTCAAATTTGGGAGGAATGATTTACCCGACCCCAAATTAAGATACGGCTCAAGTGATGATGATGAATCATGTTATGATATGCATGCTTGATTTTGGTATAAGCATCTCCTATATCATTGGTAGTACCAAAATAATAATAATAATAATAACAACAACAACACTAAAGTACTGGCAATATGCTGGGTCTTCTCACTTGCTCTTCATCTGAATTTTGACGAAGGTCTTGAGGAAAGGCATATCAATTTCGCTCTTCTAAACTAAAGAGAATTATTATATATCATGAAGTTTCTCCTAACAATAAGATCCTTTTAAGTTTTATAATGATTTTTTTCAAAGCTTTGTTTGCAGTTTGCCTGCTTCCACCAAGCAATTAATTCCCTTGGGGATAATAGGGAGAAGTAAACTTGTGTGCAATGCTTACACAAATTGCCCCCCTTTTTATTCTTGAATTTGGTCCCATCGCTAGAGAAAATGACTTTCAAGATGTCAAACCTATACACGATATTATTCTTGGTGAACTTGGTCACATGCTGCCAAGCTATATCAATGAATGAGTTAGGTGTGGCATATTTGTTGAAGTATCCATTAATAATTCAGGCTCAGATACCCAAACTCATTATTTAACATTATATGTGCTTCTTTTAAGTTCCTAACCCTAAAAATGGAGATGTAATATAATTATGAAAATGTTTGATGGGGTGGTAGTCCTATAAAAATAAGTAAAGCATCACCTCAAAACTTGCCAAAAATAGTTGTTTTGGTGTTGGAAAACCTTCAAATCGAACATATCAATCTTGATATGACGAAAAAGATAAATTTAAATGTGAAAACTGTTTAAAAGGAAAGATGCATAAAAAACCATTCCCAAAGCGTTTAAGGGCTGAAAGTATTTTACACAGTCCACACCGTATTTGTGGAAGATTAAATGCTAAAACCTTTAAAGGACACGAATATTTTGCTACTTTCATTGATGATTATTCACAATATACATATACATATTTGATTTCTCATAAATGTGAAGCTTTAGAAAAATTTAAAGAAAGTAAGCTGGAGATAAAAAATCAACTAGTTAGGAAGATTAAAATTTTGAAAGTGATATAGGTGGAGAATATACTTTATTTGAGTTTGAAAATTTTTGTAAGGAACATGGAATTATTAAACAATACACGCTCCCTTATACACCTCAACAGAATGGTATGGCTGAAAGAAAAAATAGAACTTGAACTAGAGATGGTTAAACCCCACAAACTCTGTTTCTCATATCCAATATAATCTGATTGGCATCGGCTACCACATTTCCCGTAGAACCCTTACGCTTGACAAGCTTCCTGGGGTCATTGCACACCTTTAGCAAATCACACATTCCTTGAGCTTTCTCTAATATAGACTTCTTCACATCCCCACCTTTATAACTATTAGGCAGCTTCTTAGAATGAGGAACAGAATCCATCATCTCAGTTAATCTTCGAGCCCTTTCAACCAATCCCAACCTTCTCACCTCATCCACTAGCATTTGAAATGTCAGATACTGAGGCACAATTCCCTTGTTAATCATCCCTTCAAACTCTTCGCAAGCTTCTTCTAATTTACCCAAATTGCAAAGCAAATGAACAAGCATAGAGGAAGTCGCAAGGTCTGAATCATATCCTTTCGAATGCATATCCTCAATAACTTGCAGAGTCATTTCCAGCCTACCCTTTTCACATAACATCTTTATGAGCAGCTGGTAGCTCAGTCGGTCTAGCGAATACCCTGATTTGATCAATTTCGTATAGAGATTCATACCCTCATCGATCTTTCCTGCTCGAGAGAAGAACTTGAAGAAATAATTGTAGGTAGTAGGCGTCGGTAAACAACCCCTTCCGATCATCATCTTAAGCACCTTGCTAGCCCCCACCATATCCCCATGCTTGGAAAAGCCTTTCACCAAAGAATTATATGTCGAGATGGTGGGGGTCAAGCCAAGAGTGAAGATCCTATCTGTCATAGCCATGGCATCTCCATGCCTTCCGGCCTCTCCCAAGGCATCCACAATCGGGTTATAAGTTATAACATTGGGCTCAATCCCTCGAAACTTCATATCTTCAAGCAACTCAAGTGCCCTCTCAACCCTACGCATTCTACAGTACCCTTCAATTAGTGTTCCATAAGTTACCACACTTGCTGGGACATTGCGAACCTGCATATCTTCCCATAGCCTTTCGGCCTTTCGAAGGTTTCTCAATCGAAACCAGCCATGGAGAAGGATGTTATAAGTGGAGGCCAACGCCAGTTTGGATTTTCTCGCTTCGAAGTAGCGCGCAGCCTCTCGAACCTGCCCTTCCTTGCAAAGGGCATCCAAGATATTATTCAAAGAATCAGGGGTCAAGGTTAGGCCAAAATGGGGTATGAGATCTAGAGTTCTCAGTGCAGCTTGGGGCAGTCCAGCACGAGCATAGCGTCTCAGTAGGATGGTGAATGTCTGAGCATTCACTAGAGGCTTTAACGAATCAATCAATAACCAAGCAGAATCAAATTCTCGCATTCTACCAAAAAGATTAACCATGGAGTTGAGAACTGCGGTGGTGTGTGAATAGTTGGGCTGCTTTTGAGCCCAAACAAAAAGGGCATAGGCAGAGTTGGAGGAGAATATGCAGTTCTGGAAGACTCTGTTAATGAGATCGGGGGAGATTTTGAGTTGAAGCTCGTCTAAGGAGGATTGTATTTGGGTTTCATCAGAACAACATTGCATTAAGATTTTAGTGATGATGGTAGAATCCGTTTGTAGCGCCTCCTCATCAAGTGATAGAAGCTCTTCTGGGGGGTGAGTCTGCACATGTGTAGGTTGCGATGGTTTGGAACTGCTGGGATTTTTGGGTATTTGAGAATGGGGCCATTTCATGAGAGGGTTTCCTTCGAGGAAGAGCCATGACGAGTGAGAAAAGAGCCTCAAAGAAAGGAGAAGCACACGGTTTCTGCAAGAAAATGAAACTGCCCTGGGCTTTCCAACACAGAGAAGAGTTTTTAGGCCCTTCCTGAACATTAATGCATGGAGTCTCTCTATCCCTGGAATTCTGCAATTGTTCATACAGGAGGGCAAACAAGAAGAAATTCACCACAGTATCCACAACTTCAAACTATTGGAAAGGGAACAGGTCTTTTGTGAGGAAAAACATTGCAGCAAGAATCTATGATCTGCCCCCTTATGAATTCAGTATTCCTATATCGTGGCCGGCTCCATTACCTGCATAATATTCCAAGATATATTTTATCACCCAATATTCCGACAAAATAACAGCAGACCAATCAAGACAGAAATCAGAGAAAAAAGAATTTGATATAACACTAGTATGTTACAATGAGTCCATAATAAGATTAGACCCTTTCTTGGACTTTATTGTTTTTTCCATATCCATAATCGAGATAATCAATCAGAGGTTTTTTAAGCATTAGAACAACCTTTTCTAGTAAGTTTTTGTGGTTAGTTGCTAGGTTTAAGATCTTGCATCCCAAAAATTTTGAGTATACTTTTAGGTTTTCACCAAGTGAGTGAATGGGCAGAGATGGGCAGAATATATACTCCTGCTGGGCATATAAACTTGTGGCATAAAATATTTATATTATTCAATTAGATCCATGGAATCCATGAAAATTTACATCTAAAGTTGTTTTTAATGAACTTTCTGTGAGCAGAGAGTGCAACAAGTTAATATCTCTATTTATTAGCTAATAATTATTACTTCATTATAGCATATGAATAAGAATGAAGAATAAGTAAATCTTCAGCCAAACAAAAGTCATAGCTACAAGAATCGATAGGCAAGACGTTTCGTTTTCATTCCACTTGGGAGGTCCATGTTCTTACGACAGTAGGTTCCATATAGATAATTGCTGAAAACTACCAAAGAGTTGGAAAAAAAATTGATAAAATGCTCTAAATGCCTGCTCCATGCATTTGCATTCAGACAAACTTTGGCAGGGAAGGTCTACAATGAAACTGATAATTTTAAGCTAAGTCACAATTACTCCTGATTTTAGGATTTTGTGAAATGTGAAATGATGCACTCTGGCAATCTGAATTTACATCCGACTACGAGGTATTTGTGATGTGAATAGAAAAGAATGAACCTGTTGTACATAGTCCCGTTTGGGTGCACTCCTGTAAGATTTTCATGCTCTAACATTTCAATATCCTAATTGAAGCAAGTATATGGTGCTGAAACACATAATAATATGACATTAATATTCATTGTATAAATAAAATATCATCATCATCATAGCCTTTTTTCAATTAATTGGGGTCGGCTACACAAATCTTGTTCGGCCATTCTACTCTATTAAAAGGCATATCCTCAGTGAGGCCATAAGTCTTCATATCTTTTTGGACTACTTCCAACCACATCTTTTTGGGCCTACCCTTTGCCCCTTTCAATCCTTCCAATCCGTGAAGAAAGTGCAGGAAATTGAACAGCGTCATGCCTCACTTGAATGGCCAAATCATGTTGCTCGCAAGCCTGATCAATGCGAGACAAATTTCATAGAGTGCGTAAGGTCTCGGGCTATCTCTGACCCAAACCACATACATGATGAACGATCGGATTCCGCACACGAAGCCGACGAAGTGACTGCAAATCTCGTCGTCGAAATTCCAAATTCCGGCCAAAACTCCAAAGATGCAAAACCTTCGTTTGGGCACGAAATCTAGCTGCGTCTTTTGCCTCACAGTCGTGACGGCATGCTCAATGTGATCCAGTGAAGAAATCACAAAAAAATATCAAGGACCGAGCACATTATCGATCCAAAGTTTCAAGATTCAACCAAATTTCAAGACACATGATCGTGCCCTAAAAACACGATCCATGGCTCAAAGATGGTATCAAATCGATCAGCATGCCGAGCCCTACAAGAAAACAATCATCTTTCAATCAAACGGGTATCAGAACGACCCCGAATCATCCATGCAAGATCATGCAAGTACTAGGGCAACACAAGGATTGCTCTGAAATTTCACAAATTGTTAGGAAGGGGCAAATATGTCATTTTGCACCCTATTCTTAATTTATTTTAATTCAATTTAATCTTAATTTCCAGCAATTAGTGTTACTTTTGATCATCCACCCATGTTTGCAGCAAAGTCTATATATACACGTATCATCATTGTACGTGAAAGAGGACTCAACCCTTTGCAAAAGAGAGTTTTTATTGAATAAAGTTTCTCTTTCTTCTCATTGTTGGGTCAAATTTGGAGAGAGAGTAAAGTGAGAGAAACTTTTGGACTAGCACCCCTAGGCTCAAGGTAAATCTTCTTTCTTTTTTCTTTACTTCTTCTCTCTCTTCCTCTCCTTCCTCTTCTCTATCTGAGCTCCCCTCAGAGGCCATGCACGGTAGTGGCAGTGCTATGCATGCCTCTTCTGTGGTCCCACAGGTCCCGCATGGCGATGATAGTGTCATGCGCGAGCCTCTTTCTCCTTTTGTTCATCCATCTCTATTTCCCAACGAGGCTTGCAGATGGCGTCGCTCATCGTCGTCCGCAGACGTATCCTCGACGCCTCAGTGAAGAGTGTAGACGGCGAAACTCATTGTCGCCCGTAAGGGTCTTCCCTTGTTGCGCACCTATCGAAGATTGCGATGCCTATTGCCACCTACGAGAGGTCTCGACAACATCTATCGTCGTCCGCGAGCTTCCTTTGCATGCGCAGTGCCTATCGCCGTCTACGAGCTTCCTTTGCGTACGCGGTGCCTATCGCCATCTGTGAGCCTCCTTTGTGCATTCGGTGCTCATCGTCGTTCCTCCTGCATCCCACCTCTATTGTCGTGCGCCTCATGAGGACTATCGTCGCGTGTTTTGTAAATGGCTATCGTCGTGCGCCCCATGAGAGGCTATCGCCAACCGCGCAGGGCCGCACTGCCTTCTTGTTTGCCAATGGCAATGCCTAACGCCGTCCATAGTCCCCTACTCCTCAAGCCGTGAGCAGTAGTGTCTAGCACCGTCCTAAGGCCGTGACACTGCTACTCCACGGTCGTAGGTGGCAACGCCTAGTGCCATTGGGACCATATCTCTCCATCGGCTCGTGCCTTCTCTTTATTCTCTCCTATTCTCACTTGATTGAGGGTTGACGTAGCCTAGCACCGCCATATCGGCCTCGGTTTTGAGTAGTATTGTCATCGTGCTGGTCCTGAGTACCATATCTGTCTTTCTACCACTTCGAGTCTGTCACTGTCAGCTTATCAAGCTAGTCTCATCCCTTTATCAAGTTTTCTTCTCTCTTTGACCTTTGTTCGAACCTTCTACTTCATCGCTCTAACCCCTCACATTCCTAGCCACATGAATGTGCGTTGCCCTAAGACAAGGGTGGGCCCTTCGACCTACTTGTCTTGCAAATTAACCATAGTAGTGTTGTACAAAAAACCAAGGAGATTACAGGTCAAGGGAGGCAATTCCGATCCAGTTAAAGCAGCTGGGAGGCTTTCCATCATGGTCTAAGAGGGTGCCCATGCGAGTCAACCTGAGTAAGTCACGAACCCAGGTGAGGTTGTTCCCCACCTCACATCCAAAATTCCTCTCTCACTAGTTGGATACCTGCCCTTGATCTTAAACAAGGTTCCCAAGAGAGCGATCTCAAGTCCCGAGTTTTCCAAACTAGAGACATTGTCACTTGATCACCTAGATCCGGGGAGGCGAGATCGAGGAACCTGACCACTCTTAAGTATTTATGATGCCCTTCTACTGTCTAGAGACTATTGTATGGCCCTTGTGCAAGCTCTTTCCAACCCAGAGGTGTACGAGACTGAAGTGGAGCCTATCGAGGTTGAGCCATCCTAAGTGGGTGCTTAGCAATCTCCTTTTTTGAAGATGAGCTTCTGTTAGAAGGCAAATTTCACAATCGCCCCCTATTTGTGAATGAACTACACCGCCTGCCCTATCAACCGGATCACGCTGGATGGAGGATCGACAGTCAACCTAATCCCAAGAAGGATCCTCACCCGATTGGGATTAGGGTCTGATGACCTCACTCCTACCCACATCACCGTGCAAGGATTCACCCAATCAAGAGAAAAGCCGGCTGGGACAGTTCGTCTTCACCTCAAGATCCCTCAATGATTACGCTCAGTTCCATGTAATCGACACCGATACATCTTACAATGTCTCCTCGACCGCCCTTGGCTTCATGATCAAGGGATGGTTCCTTCCACGCTTCACCAATACTTGAAGTAGAGCCGAGATGGGGGACAGCATACGTTCTATGCTAACAAGAGACCGTTCCCTGTAGCCGAGACTCACTATGCTGATGCTAAGTACTATTTCACAAACCTTCCAACATCAGAAAAGTCAAAGGATGATGATTGGAAGCTTGTGAGAGAGATAGGACCCTTGTCTCACGATGATGTTGAAGATCTGGGGTGAATGATCACGGACATGTTCAAGGAAGAGGAAAGAGAAGGCAAGATCCTCCCTTTAACTCTTATATACCCAAGTATACCTTGCCACCTCTCTGAGGTCATGTTGTCATCCCCCAAAGAAGAAGCTTCCCCCTCTACTTCTAATTCGCTAGAACAAAATGGCAAGCTAGAAGCAACTCTTGAGACTGAGGAAGCCCTAGAGGTAGACCTTCCAGCACCGACGGTCACCTATACGTCGGACCAACAAAAGGTCCTGCACGTCCCCATCGCTCTTTTACAAGCAGAATTGGCACACCAACCTCTAAGGAAGGTACTCCAAATTTCATCCTCCTTGAACAAGGGGATCACTAGCAACCATGAGAGGCTCTTACACCTCTCAAAGGCTTCCGAAGAGGCACAGGTGGACAAGAGTCAGCCCTCTGGCTCTCGAGAACAAGACACCATGGCAGAATTGAGAAGTGAGGTTCGTAGCCTCCAAAATTTGTTGGAGGTTATGCGTGTTGCTTCAAAACACTTAAAGGGGTTCGTCCCTGAGACTCAAACCTAAGACAAGCTCAAGAGCAGTGCACCTCAAATCGAAGCCAAGGCTCCCCCAGATTAGAGTATCTAGAACAAATAGGCTCATCAAATCATGAGAACCATAAATTATGAGCCCCTGTCGAATCAAATGCTAAGGGTGAGGAAGCAACTGCTCCCCCATTTGAGGTCATTGAGGCAACAGCAAGTTGTCATAAGGCAATGTAAGGAGTGGGATATTCTTTTTCGTCTCACACTAACAAGGGGCAAAAGCAGTAAAATAGGAAAAGAAAGAAGAGCAAAAGACATGTTGCACGCAGAAAAAGA